GGACAATGAAAATGTGGTTTATTTATGCAATGTAGTTCTACCCACCAGTAAAAAAAAGATGAAATCATGAAATTTGCAGGTAAATGAATGGAACTAGAAACTGTTACAGTAAGTGAAGTAACACAGACTCAGAAAAATAAACAATGTATGTTCTCCCTCATATGTGGATCCTAGCACCAAATCCTGATAAGTGAGTATGTATCCAGACATAAGTACAGAAACCAGAATAATGAAAAGGAACCAGAGAGGTAAAGGAAAAGTAAGAATCTGAGTGGGAAGAAGAGTAGGAAACAGGTGTTACTAAGGGAGATATGGATAAAAATTGGGTTATTTTAATGGGAGGGGCGAGGAAGGGTATACAATCAATCTTGGGGATAAAGGGAAAAAAGGAGCTCAAGAGAAGTGGGATCATAGGAGAAGGGTATTATTATGGGAGAAATGGAAAAAATGGGGGCACTTTAAATGGGGAAACCGTGGTGGAAGGACTAGACAATGCAAGAGATAAATAATGCCTAATTATTTTTTAAAAACCCAAGGGAACCATATTAGTCTAACAACCTATTGATAATTTATACATACAACTATTTCAGGAATAAAATATATTTCTAGTCAAGGATTATCTGAAAGCTTTTCAGTTTTGCCCAAGCTTCATCTACATAGCACATGGTAATTAAATGTACCGGACTGGTGGAACTAACATTCATAGGTGTTTAACACCCATACTCTGAGGCCTATGCTAATCTGCTCAGAGGGACTTAAATGACAGTTTTTGCTCCTTGCCGTCTAAGGTCGACTAAGCTCCAGGGACTATGGAACATCTCTCAAAATATCCTGTAACTTTGGTGAGTCACCTGTCCTCTTGATCAATGAGGCCATGGAGGCCCCATCAGATGAACTGAGTGCACTTGTAGAGGACCCAGGTTCGATCCCCTACACCCACATGGCGCCTATGAACTGTCCTTAACTCCAGTTCCAGGGGAATCTGAAGCCCTCTTTTGACCTCTGCAGTATTGCACGACATGGGTGTACTCACATGCATGCAGGCAATACAATGATACATGTTAAAAATAAATAAATAAAATACAAAAAAAAATATTTAAAAATTCTAAAAAAAAAAGAAAATTGTACACATACACATGTACGTGGGCATGCACTCACCCAGACCCGCACACACACACACACACACACACACACACAAAACAGACATACACACAGAAATTTTTTCTAATTTTTTAACGCCTAGCCTTCTTGTGGAGCACTATTGCATGCACTCACCCAGACCCGCACACACACACACACACACACACACACACACAAAACAGACAGACACACTAAATTAAATAACTTCAATTTATGTGCTTCAGATGTAAAGAGAATTAACTTGAGCAATACTTAACAGTTTAATATCTCCTTTCCTGAAGCCTGCTTTCAGAGTGGTTCCTGTTTTCAGGGTGAGTGCAATTACATTGCCAGGGTTTGTCATGTGTCGCAAAAACAATGGTTTGAAAAGGTGGTTCTGATTATGGTAAAAGAACTGAGTTCCCATCCAATGGTTTAGGTCACCACTATAGAAGAAACAATATACCTTATATTTGATATGGTTAAATAAATTATTCTTTTTTAAAAAATGTGATTCCTTTAAACCATTTTACATAAAGATGCCATGGAAGACAAAATGACTTATACTCACATGTGGAAATAACAGGAATTAGAAGTTTCTTCATCATATCAGATAAGAGTAAACCCAATGATACCTTTCCCTTTCCTCTTTCCCTTCCCCTACTCCTCCCCTCCCTCCCTTTCCTTCTCTTCCCTTTCCTTTTTGTCTTTCCTAACACTACTCTAATTTTTCACCTTCAACTTCTTTGGAAGTCCCCCTGACAGAACTACAGAAAAGCCATTAAGCCAACACAAATGGCAACATAGACGCTGCATTTTCCAATAAGCAGCTTGAAGCCATGCACTTAATGAAACATTCAGGTCAGAAGGCAATAGAAGAGGTGACAGGACAGAAAGCCTGCAGAGACAGGACAACTCATAGAGCCAGCTCCCTGACCTTTGTAAATTACTACTCTGTGTGTTCCATACCTGGGAGAGGCAGGTGTCTGTAATTGCTAAATTCTGCTCTGACTCAATTATTTCCTCAGATTTTTAGAATAAGCAACCAGAAGTTAATCTGTTTATTTTTTAATCTTTAAAATGTGTAGTTAACTACTAAAGCTATCAGAGAATGGAATTAGGGAAAACTATCTATAAATCAAAGTCACAAAGACCCTTTCATCAAGGTGCAGTGGTGCTGAATCTGATATGATGATGAGCAATACTCCGAGGCAGAACAGATTCCAGATTGACTCTATCTGGGGCAAAATGAAATGGAAACAACAACAAAAAAATCTTTTAAAATGAAGCGTTCCTTATGCTTTTCTGGTTTTCTTTATCCTCCCTCATTTTCTCATAGTTATGCAAATCCTCTTCCTTTTCCTTCTCTTCTTCATGTAGATTGTATTCCAGTGTTTAAAGGTCATGGATTTCAATGGCAATTGTTGGGGGTCACACTTTAAAATCAGAATTTCTTTATTAAATGAGACGGAGCTAGTCAGTTTATCCAGGCCTACAGCACTGCAGTATGTTTGATGCTACAGAGCCTTTGGCGTTTTCTTATTTCACAACAGTGTTTTCAAACTTTGATTAGATTTCAGAGAACAAAGGGAAAACAGTTGAAAAGCAAGGGCAGGGTGATCTTCAGAGGGGCTTATAGCAAACACCTAGGCAGTGCTCACAGAAGGGGCTAGCAGGCTCCCTTCACCTTTCTGTTCCCCTTACTTTTGAAGCATGTATTCTTAAAGCATTCTTTTAAGAGAACCATTTCTGTGAGGCTGATAACTAACCTTGCACATTCATCCATTTGACTTGCTTTTTCAATCCAAAGAATAATTTGAGAGAATTCCTATTCTCAGAAAATCTTTATGCTAGGAAAATAGAACCTTTTGAATAAAGACAAGACTAAAAAAAAAGAATGTCCTAGAAGGACTTACTCTTACATACCTCATTAGGTACTCGGAGAGGTCTACAAGACAGCAGGTAGAACTCTAAGAACTATACAAAACCTGCAGACATGACTGGGTCTTTGTTTATTTTACCACTTTATTCTCTGTTCCTTGGCTAAAACAGCAATCTTGGGACTAGAAATATCAAAATGAGGATCTCACATCTAGCCTATGGACATTTATTTTTTCCTGGTTTCTGAAGTTCTATGATAAAATCAAGATTTCTAGGTCTCTTGAAGTATTTGGTATCTTACACACTGTTCTAGTTTGCTTCCAAAAGCAACTTGGGGAGGAAGAGTTGATTTAGCTTATAGATCAGTCCATCATCAAATGAAGACAAGGCAAGAACTCAGGGCAGGAACCTGGAGCACAGACTTTGGAGGTCTGTTTCCAGGCTTGCTCTTCTGGCCCATGCTCAGCCTGCTTTCTTATACAACACAGGCCCACCCCCCCAGTGGTGGCACCACCCAGAGTCAGCTGGGCCCTCCCACATCATTCAACAACCAAGTAAATGCCCCACAGATATGGTCACAGGCCAATCAAAAAGAGAAAATACCTCATCTGAGGTTCCCTCTAACCAGGTGTGTAAAGTTGACAGTTAAAGCTATCCAACATACACACTAAATCTGCCTTTGCATAAAACAGATGAATAAATTCAAGATGGGACAATTCATGTTAAGTGGCAGTTCACATACCAGTTTTTCTAGGCCTTTCGTCTAAGACTAACAATTATCATTGTCAGCCAAGGCTATGCCATTTTGTAAAACTCTTCCATTTTGGTTGAACTGTGACAATTATCATAAAACAGTATTTTGGTTTCTGGAACAAAAGCAACTTGTTTCTCAATATTCTTACCTTCGTTGCTCTGTTGATCCCAAGCAAAGGCCAGCAAGGAAGGATGTTTATTGAGCATTCTTTAACTGATTACACACTAGTTACCAGTAGCCATAGCCAAACACAGGCCAAAAAGTCAAACCTTCTAACCTCCTGTTCCCCTGCTCCTGGCCCTGTTCTACCTTATAAACTACCCCAGTCTGTAAGCAGGTAATGCATTCTGACTCTTACAGAGAACATTCTACAGTGACATTCTACAGTATTTTTTTTCTCAAAATAAAGTCCTGTGCTGTCAGCAAGTCGCTCATTCCCTTGTCTGTCTTTCCTTCTTACTGACCGTCTTCCACTGCACTTTAGTTCTTTCATGTGGCCTGCCTTGCCAGATGGGTGTGGGACCCTGCCCCTTACAATGCTATAGAAAAGCTCACTGAACTAAAGGGCTATATTCATATGTGCACAATGGTTCAATCAGAGCAGGATTACTTAGTCACATCTGTGGGTCATTCAGATGGGACTGCAGACTATGATCTCACCTCTTTTGTACATGAGGATGTACAGAACAATGCAATGAAATGTAATAGACATCGGCCAAAATAAGTATTTCATTCTGAAACAACTATCCTCCCAAAGCAAGCAAGTGCTGATTTAGGATTTTTAAACTGCTTCCACTATGGCAAGAAACTCCCTCTTCTTTCTCTACGGGAACCTCACCACATTTTTTTGCATGTGGTGAATTCATTTTGTCATGGGGTGAACACCTGTGTGACTATTTAAAAACCAGAGCACCAGGTGTGTCCTTATGAGTGTGTCCAGGTTTTGTGTACTGTTCCCACTGAGTTCTAAACAGGCTGGGTCAGGAAAAAGACTTCAGACTGCATATAGGAAGACATCTCAATGCTTTAAAAAAATGTATTATCTACTATAAGTGCAGGCAACGAAAATGTTGCAGTCAAATTGTACAAGCAGGTCTTAGTTTTATAAACTACTTATATTTGTATGTATAGTATGTCAAAGCAAGTAGCATCTCTGGGTAGCCATAGGAAGTTTTTCACATAGGAAAGAAGCATGTTTGGAAGATGGTATATTATGAAATGTACTTAAAAATAAAGACTCTTTTACCTTTTGTTTTGCTTCAGGCTCTCTGTTCCTCTTTTCCAAGAAATGGATGCTCTAGGGAAAGCCTTTGGTTTGCATTCAATAGAAATATCACCACCAACTTGAACAACTGAATTCTTTTTAATGGGGTTTTTTGAAAAATCTGGAGCAGAAGCTAAAAACAAAATTAAAAATTGAACTGTTAAATTAATCAATATGCAGTAATTCAAGAATTAAGAATATTAGATAATAACTATTATTTGTAGTTAAAACTGAAACTAATGTGCTCAAGCTGTCCTAAGATCACTTAACACACACACATATACACGTATGTTTTAGATAGATATATACATACATATTCATGATTTCTATCATGAAAACAACTCATGAATTTATGATTATTTATTTACTATGTCCGATTTCTCTTGAAAAACCTAAATTAGGAACATATATTCTGTCCTCTACAGAAGCAGATACAGTGAACTGAAATATATAAAGAATATATTTGTCTATCTCATGCTTATCTCTGCTGAATAATTGGTTAGATAAAATACCAGCTCATGGAGGTTAGAAGCGACAGGTGTTTGGGATGCATCTAAACCTTTCCATGTTCTTGGATGTTGGACCTGTGTGGTCAATCTCAATTTCTAAAGTACAAGTGAACTGAAGTTTTTATATATGTCATGTGGTCTGGCATCTGTGTTTTTTCAGGAATTGCTTCTCTGCCCTTCATCTCACCTATACGAGCTTTTGTTTGTGATCTCAGATTGAAAAGAGTGTCTCAATTAAGGTTGCATTTGACTTGTTGTGTGGTTGGACAGCAACCATTCCATTCTTGACCATATGAATGGCCACATCATAAATTTTGCTATTTTTTCAGTGAATGTGTAGGTTCAGCTAAGGTACAGATCACTTGTTTGATATTTCTATTTGTAGAGCTCAGAATAAAATAAATGTTCAGTAAAATGGTAGTGAGTAAAGAATGAACAATTCAGTAGATGCCTGCCCCCCAAAAGCCCATGAAATTTGGTCTTGTATTTTATTCTTCCTCTTATTTCTTTCATCCTTCCTATCTCTAGTCAATCCTTTGGGGCAAAAACCTCTCAGACTCATTTCTTGTGTTTGATACTGTTATTTGAATTTCAGGGAGTGACATTCTTCAAGTGCTCCAATCAATTCTATACTTTTACTAAGGGAATTGTTTTCTGTGCTTCCCTCAGTGTCTGCAAGTCCAGGCAGCAAGAGTTCTAGTTGAGAACCCCAAAAATTTTGCTATAGAAACTTAAGTAAATTGTTCTCTTTCAATGAAAGAGACATATATAGTAGGTTCTGTACCTCCTGTTTCTCATGCCTTCAACTTGGACTTGATTTCTATAGCTACAACAATCACTGTGAAATCACACATCTACAAGTCCACAGAAAAGACATTCAGAATAACTGTCCAGTTTTAGCATCTTAGTTGACAGATATTGCAACTCTTAATTGTAACAAAGACCATTATTTAAGTCTCTGTGAATTGTGACTAGGCTTCTGTATGCCTGTGCAACTGGAAGTATTTCTTTCTGCTTATATTTGTGGATGAAAATACTCCTAATGGATTCCTTTGAATTGTACTTAATACCTCCAGCTAGAATTCAGTTCTTTGGATGAAACACTTCTGAATTTCCCATACTAAAGGATAGGTACTTTTGCAAACACTAATGCATTATTCAAGCAGAACAATAATTAAGACTATGAATTTTGTAAATAGAAAACTGAAATATTTATGTGGGTTTCCAAAGAAAGCTATTTCTAATTTATAGACAAAATGGAGGTTCAGATGATATCTAATCATAGACTGTTAAAGTGTCCTTTAGAATTTCTTGGTTATAAATGAATGACTCACCTAAAACTCTCAATTCTGCATTTGCATAAATTGTTTGATATTTGTTTTCTGCAGCACATTGGTAGACCCCAGAGTCTGACACATTCAGCATGGTAATGATAAGTGTCCCATCTTCAATCTGAATTCTCTCCTAATAAAAGATAGTCATACAAAATTGCATTTGAATTAATATAAAAGGTGATTCCATATTAACATAAATAGTCTCTCAAACAGAATATGCCACTATAAAACATTTCTGCATATCTCTGAGATATGATACTTTGGTGCATTACTGAAAGATTCTGAACAACTTTCTAAAGTTTAAAAAATGGCAATGTGCCAGGTGTGGTGGCACATGCCTTTAATCCCAGTGCTTTGGAAGAGGAGGCAGGTGGATCTCTGTGAGTTCGAAGCCAGCCTGGTCTACATAGTGAGTTCAAGGCTAGCTGGAGCTACAGGGAGACCCTGTCTCAAAAAGACAAACATAAAAAATCAATAACAATAATAATAATAAAGGGGAATGTGCTTAGTATAATTTTAGTGTCTAGATTATTCCATGTTATTTCATTTATGTAAAAACTGGCATTCTCTACATGGGATATATGATGGTTTCTGTTCTATAATATTTAAAATAATTTAGTGTATTCTGTGTTTGCAATTATTCCAGAAAGCATGGTGACAGTAATACACAAGGATATTGTGAATGGGCTGTTTCCTTGGCTTTCTATTGTGAGATTTTTAAAAGGCCTGAAGTGAGTTCACAAGTTGCTATTTGAGTTTTAAGTTGGAGAAGCATCATTCTTCCTTTCTTTAATCAAGCCTAAAGACTACCTCAACTAAATTTTGTTGTAGAGTTCCATTCAGTATACAGAAATACAATTTTGAGTGCACATAGTAGAGAATAGTACAAATTTAACTGCAGCTAAGTATCTCAAGATGTCTATTAACATTATCCAAGGATAATACAGAAAGGTTGGAGAGAATTTTAAAAATGCTACATGTAAAAGGCATACAGAAGGAGCATGCCACTGAACTGAAACAAAGTTAAATATAAACATACTTAACTTCTGAACAACAGACAATCTTTATGACTCTGGTTATGGCTACGTGTATAAAGCAAAATGAAAAATTTCCACAATTATTTGGATAATTAGATAATATAAAAGGACATATGTTTACACTGAACATGTGAAGAACCAATTTAGGTCTCCATCTTTTTATGAGCTTAGGGACAGTCATCACGTTCCATAAAAGCAGGAGAATGCGCAGTAACTAAAATTTTGAGAGCTGATATTAGACAAAGTTTAGGAGACTACACCTTCTACTAGCTGTTCTGTGACTTTGGAAAAAAAGTGTAGAAGTTCTTCATTGTGGGTCCTGGTATTAAGAAATGCTTTGAAAACTAAATCCAACAGTTAGTGGTTGCATGATGCTGGAGAAGTTTCTTAGCCTCTCTGAAGTTTGTTTCATACACCTAGCTAAAAGAATAACTGTATCACTCTTACAAAATTACTGTGAGAACAAAACAAGTTAATCTATAGTAAAAGATCATATAAGACCTGACTTACATGAGATCATGATAAATGTTAGCTATGATGATAGTAACAATATCCTTTTCATTTTATTTTGTAATTTATTTATTATTTAATAATTCATATATTTGTGCAACATATTTTTATCATATTCATTTCTAATTCCATGCCTAATCCTCCTTAACAAACCAACATGTCTCACTTCCAGCTTCAGGTCTTTTTCTCTTTTTATATCCCACTAAGTCCAATTGGTACTGCCCATAAGCACACTAACAACAATATCTAAATGTGACTTTACCAGTAACTAGCTGCCTGGTTGCATGCAAGTTATCTATCCCATTGCATTTTCCTCATTTGATTTTAAAGATTACATAAATATAGAATACACTTAACACTCCTTAGCCCTGGGAAATTACTGACAAATTTTGTTACTTATTGCAACAAAATTTACTTGACAAATTAGTTGAGTTTTAAGCATCAACAAAGTTACTCACCTCAGGATTGAGGCGTTCACCATTCTTTAGCCATGTGTACCAAGGATTTGGCTTTCCATTAGCTTTGCATTCCCAAAGCAAACTATCATAGATAGAGAGGTATGTGTTTTGAATTTTATGTTCCCATTCTGGAGGGGCTGTTTCAAAAAAGAACAGAGAAAGAATACCTGGTTGGAATACAATTTTTCAAGGCAGTACATTGTAAGTTTTATAATCATCAAAAGGTTAACTGGGTCCAGTTATATGGCCTACACTTGCTTTGAGGGAAGGGAAGGAAATACAATATGGTACATCTGTCACAATTATGACTGGGTAATTTTGGCTTAAGTTATATGGTATTATTTGTCATTGTGCCTGACCTATGCAACAACTTAGAAATTCAGAGTAAAGGTCAAAATACAGAGCATAGGTAAAGAATATTGTCAGGCTAAGTCAGAGTCCATAAGCCTATTTAGAAAATAAAAAAGTCTTTATTTCCCTCCCAGGGAAAACTTCCTCTGATTGTATTTGTTTTAAGGTAACCAAAAGCAAATGTATCTATATTAGAGTTAATTCTACTCAGTACCTTGATTTGATGTACATGAAAGATTCTTTACATTTTTAGGATAATCCCATTTTTTCAGCATATAGTTTTTATTGAATTTTTGTGGATTTCATACAAAACATTTAATCATATTTAGACCTCTTCCCCTATCTGTAACCACCACAGTCTGCCCATGTGATTTCATGTATTCTGTCATATATATATTATGGTCTATCAATTCACGTTTATGTTCCCAGAAGTTTCTCAGTATGAGTTCATCCACTGGAGACTGTTGTTTTGCCCGTCTAGCATCATTCCCTTAAAGAAGATCAATTCTCCATCACCCAGCAGTGATCAGCTGCCAATAGTTCTGCTAAGGTTGGGGCCTTCTGCCCATTTCCCAGTTCTATGCTGGGTTTTTTATCTGATTTTGTTTTCATGGGTCTTGCACATGCTGTCACCATTGCTGTTCATATGGGTAATTTCCTAGAACTTGTAAGACTGTTTCCTTATGGTTATGTACCACCCCTTTTGAACTCTTGAGAATGAATGAGACTTCCAAAGTTACATTCAAGTGAAATATTTAACTTCAATTCTCCATGTGAGTTTTACAAAATTCATTTTCTGACTAGTGAAAGTTCTGCATAGTACCAGGGCATAAGGAAACATGCATTAATAACAGAAAAGGTGTTATTAGCCCTATAATCAGTTGGGAAAATAGCTGTAGTACAAGTTAAAAGTATTAAAGTGGATGTTCCTTCCCATACACGTTTTTTTTTTAACTGCTTATAGGTGCTCAGCCATCACTGTCCTTTGATTCTGTCCTTTTGGGAAAGGGGTATATGGGTCCTTCCTTGGAATCTCTGGTTTTGACTATCTACATATTTTATATGTGTTATTGCATTTGATTTGGCTTGTGATAGATCTTTTTGGCAAAGATCTCAGATAACCTACTCAAGATGGCATGTTGTAGAAATATAGAAGCCAAACTGATCCCTGAAAGCAGAGAGAGAGAGGAAAATGGAAAGCACTGCTTCAGTGGGAGCATTACTGCAATGGAGGAGGATGAGGAAAATTACCCTCTGTTTGGAAGAAAAGGAAGTCAAACAAAGATGAGTTATTGACTTAGTCACCACCATGGACAATTTTTATGTTTTAGAGCAAACTTCTAAAGAATCTTCATGAGCCATCTACCAAAGGAAAAGAAAGAGAAGCATGTATTCTTTACATGCCTGGAGTCTTCTAATACCAAATTACTGGCTTAGTCTATTTTCTGATGTAAAGAAAGCTCTGACAGCCAGCTGTATATGCTAAAGGAAAACCTGACTGGGAAATGAGAGATCCCTAGCATGCACCTGAGATAAGACTCAGCCTATCCCTAAAATGTGTTTTGCTGAGTCATCAGATATCATACTGCTTGCAGTAAGAAGTGGGAGGCTGAGAAAGGACTAGGGTGTTCAAAACATTTGCTTTTCTTGCAGAGGACACAGGTTCAATTCCTAGCAACATGATGGCTACCAGTCTTGGACATATATTTTAGATAATCTGACACTGCCTTCTGACCTCTGTCTGTATTGAATGACACAAGTGCACTTAAATATGTACAAGCAAAATACTAGTATACATATTTTTTTTAAAAAAAGAAGTGCAAATATATGAAATAAAAATGGTTATGCAGCATAAAACACAAGAGTGTCTGAGTTCAATGATTTTTCCACTGTGATGTCTGTCTCCATTAAGACTCTGTATGGAGCCTGTCATGAGACCCTGGGTGGTGACATGCAGCCTATGATTTCCTTCTGTGCAAATCAGCACAGCTTCCACTTACAGAACATGTATCTTGAAGCTTTCAGGGCAAGGTTTTAAGAGCAGGTATATTGACAAAATTGAATAACTTGTAAATATTGTGCTAATATATATTTGTAAATACTTATTAAATATTGTGCTAATATATATTTGGCCTGAGA